TTTCTCAGGTGACATCATGAGCAGAAAAGCTGCTGGGGAGGGTGGGGGGCGGGTGGTGGGATGAGGGCCGGGAGGGGGCTTGGTTTGAGAGGTCTCCACGACTGGGGCTCCCCAAGCACAGTGAGTAGTCATTTTGTGGGTGGAGAGACCAACATCCTGCAGACAGAAACGGCTTCCTTCCCAAGGTTCACCCGGCGATGGAAGGCAGGGGGGCCCTCCCTGCCTCCCAGCACCCTGTCCAGGGGTTGGTCTCCAGGAAGCCTGGGGCGTTCTCTACTGCCCTCTGGGCTATCCCCTATTCCACGAGGGAGAAAAATGACACACGGGCTCAAGCCACTTCATTAAATGGAGCCGCTGGATGCAACAACGAATAACAAACAAAACAGACTGAACAAAGGGTGCCTCCTTAGCTCCATGCGTGTGTTCATGAACCGTTTAGGGAGATGCACGGTGGGCGGGCCCCACGGTGGCCTCTGGGGTGGCGATCAGGAGCCACCTACTCTGCGTGATGGCCAGGCTGCGGAGTTTTCGCAGCGCTGCGGGGGCTGCTGGGCTGCGGAGCAGGGTCAGCGCGTAGGTGGTCAGGGCACTGCTGTAGGGGTCGGCGGCCAAGGGCACACTGGACTCCAGGAAGTGCCTCGCTCTGGCAATGGCGCCCCTCTCCTCCTGCGGGATGGGGTGGGGAGTGGAGCCCTGCGAGGCTGCTCTGTTCCCCCACCCACCTGCCCACCCGCAGGTTCCCAGGGCGCACCTAGGGAGAGCTCCCAGACTCTCATTCTGCCTCCTTCTAGGGCTCCCGCAGCGTGCGGACCTGGCTTTCAAAACCCCATCCCCTTTCTGTTGGTGCCAGCTTTCTTCCGAATGAGGTCTGAGCACAGTGTATCAACCCAGAGAAGTACTGGGGGAATCAGGCAGAGCCCTGACCACCCTGTCCCACCCACCCCTTCACCAGGCTGGCTTTTAAGAACCCCTGCCCAGGCCCACTTCATCCTCCAGGCCTCACTTCAAGTGTTGCCTCCTCCAGGAAGCCCACCAACCCTGATCATGCTTCTCCCCCAGCCCTAATGTGAGCCACTGGAGGACAGAAACTGAGTCCGCTGTCCAGCGGGGGCTTGATGCAGAGAAGCTGCCCAAGCATATTGGTTAAATGGAAAAAAATGAGTGATTAGAAGCATTCGTGAATTTGATAAATGAGCAACGGTGTTCCCGTGGGCACCGATGGAGCCATGGCGTTAAGATAACTCTGCTTTTAGGCCGCCTGGTTGGTGCAGCTGGCTCAGCGTCTGGCTCTTGATTTTGGCTCAGGTCACGATCTCACGGTTCTGTGAGTTCGAGCCCCGCACTGGGCTCTGTGCTGTGTGGGGCTCACTTGGGATTCTCTGTCTCTGCCCCTCTCCCACTCCAGCTTTCTCTCTCAAAAAAAGATATCTCTGCTTTAGATTGTTAAGATCTCAGAAAGCATGCTCTCCCAAAGCTCTCCATCTTTAGATCAGGACAAAGTATGGAAACTGCCCCTAATGCGGGGCGTTGAGATATACCATGTACCTCCTGGGGCCTCGACACGCCGCAGTTAGGACCATGTCCCCATAGGAGAGGACACAGAGACGCAGGCACAGGGCCATGCAGAGACAGAGGCAGACACTGGAGTGACGTGGCCACAAGACTAGAAATGCCTGGGGCCTCCAGAAGCTGGAGAGGCCTAGAAGGACCTTCCTTAGAGCCTTCGGAAGGAGCACAGCCTTGCTGACACCTGGACCTCAGACGTATGGCCTCCAGGACTGTGAGAGAATAATCCAGGGGCCACGATCCAGCCTAGGGCACAGGGGCCTTCAGAGTCCGGAGTGAATGAAGACACACGTGACACAGCTCGAAACGTGTGACAGGGTCCGAATGACCTGGAAGTCCATTTAACTGGAAGAAGGAGCAGAGCCAGAGGAGACAGGAGGGGCCCGCCTCAGGGGATGCGGAGGGGCCGGGGTCCCTCGGCCTCAGAGGTGCAGGCACTCACCAGCCCCCCCCGGTCCTGGGACTCCCTCAGGACCGCTGGCCATCCTAGAGGCAGGGTGTATGAGTTTGCAATGGCTGTGTAACAAAGTGCCACAAAGTGGGTGGCTTAAACAGTAAAAAAAAGACATGGTGTCACAGATCTGGAGACCGGAAGTCTGAGGTCACGGTGTGGGCCACTGAGGGAAGAGGCTGTCCCAGGCCTCTCCCGGGCTTGCAGCCGGCTGTCTTCTCCCTGAGTCTCCACGTCGTCTTGCCTGTGCGTGTGTGTCTGTGTCCAACCCCCTTTGTATGAGGACGCCAGTCATATTGGATTAGGACCCATCCTGATGGCCTCATTTGAACTTGATTTACCTCTTCAAAGGCCCTAATCACACTCCGAGGTATGGGGGTGCTGTCTGGGCCCCCCACCACAATACGTTGAAGCGCTACCCCAATGTGACGGTGTTAGGAGGCGGGGCCTTTGGGATGTGATTACGTTTAGCTGAGCTTCTGAGGGTGGGGCCCCCACAATGGGCTTAGGGTCCTTACACAAAAAGGAAGAGACACCAGAACTCCCTCTCTCCACACGTGCATACCAAGGAAAGGCCATGTGTGGACACAGCGGGAAGGTGGCTGTCTACAAGGCAGGAAGAGAGCCCTCACCAAGGACTGACTCAAACAGAACCTTGACTTGGGTTTCCCAGTTTCCAGAACTATGAGAAGTAAACGTCTGTGGTTTAAGCCTCCTGGACTGTGGTATTTTGTTTCGGCGGCCCGAGCTGGCTAAGACAGGGGATTAGGATTTCAGGATATACATTTCGGGGAGACACAATTCAGCCCTTTAACACGGGGCAAGGGGCCCTCCAGGCAAAGTGCACAGGACCTAGAAGATCTTAGGTCATGGCAAACCCTAGACCCAGAGGTTAAATCTGGATTGGGAGGCCACGAATTCTGAGAAAAGCCACAATTCGCAGTTCGTCACCAGGGGATGTAGAACCGATACAGATGTTAGGAATGGTGGGGTCCCTACTCCCAGGATTGGGGTCCACCAGGGACGCCCTCACCGCAGGGAACGTGTTATACTCACCCCGCTTCACAGAAGCAACAATGGCTCTCCAGTCCCTGGGGACAACTAAACCTTGACTGGCTCCAGTACCCACTGTAAATGGAGGTTCTAGACCCTTCCCCCAAAAAAATTTCACAAATTTTGGTATAGGACTCCCGGAAGTGAGCCCATGGGTCACTAGCCAGGAACGTGATGTAGCCCCAAACAGGCTCCCGGGGTGTCAGATAGTCCTGGGACGTCTCGTACTCAGGATACAGCACCTCCACACCACCCCCCCACGATTGTCACAGGACCCTCTCAATCCTCTGCCCGGGCTACAAGAAGGTGAGCATCCTGGGACCACAGGAAAGCATGAAAAAGAGTGGAAGGAGGGCATCAAGGAAGAAATAAAGCCTGCCCGAGGACGGCCAGCCTGGCCTGCAGGGGGGACGTTGCCCAGCCACTCCCCCAGCCGCCCTGTGCTCACCTCCGAGGCAGTGCCTGTCTCCAGGAGTGCAGCCACCACGTACGCCGTCAACGGGACTGTGCCGTGGATCCCACCCTGCAAGAGGACTTTGGAGCCTCACCCTGAGCCAGAGGGGACAGCCCCTGACCTCCTACTAGCCCGAGACAGCACCGGGGAGTGGGGGAGGGGGCAGGGCTAAGGCACCAGAAGGAGGCGGAGAGGCCACTCACCTGGATGTCCTTGTTCAGGATCCTGCCCACGGCCGGGAAGGAGCCATCCCCCCGCTGCTGCCGGATGATCCAGCCCTTGGCAGCTGCCAGCTCCTGTGGGTCGATGAAGATGAAGCTTCGTGCCTGGGCAAAGGACTTCAGGACAAAGGCCGTGAGCCTAAAACAGGATGAGGCAGGGGCTGGGAGGGCCATGGGTCGGGGACGGTGGTGCAGAAAAGGTCACCTCCCGTGGGCACCCCGAGGAACCGTGCACGTTCCCTGCACTGCCCGAGTCTCTGCTTCCTCCCCTATAACACAGGAGGGTCCAGCTTGCCCTCTCGGGGCTGTTGTGAGCACTCCAGGGAAGTGTGTGGGCACCCAGCAGGGCCCAATGACAGAGGCCCGCCTCCCTGCAGCACCAGGGTCTGGCACTCAAGGCCTTCCCGGGAACTGGTCCAGCCCTGCCTCCCCCTGCCACATGCAGGAGACCTTCCTTGTTGCCCCTCCACAGCCACTCCCTGAGAGATCCCCCGTCTTCCAGAGAGATCTCCAGTCTTTCTTGGAAGCCTGCAGTCAGGTGCCTTACATGCTTAGACCCCTGATGGCCCCACCCAGCCACAGTTAGGGGCATTTCAGTCCCTGGCCCTGAGAGTGACTTTAGAATGGGCACATGCGGTGATGCTGGGAGCAGCTGCTGCAATTTTGCCACCATGAGGGGAGCAGCCACTGTGCTGAGAGAGCCCACAGGGGCCCAAGGAAAGACCCGGGGCCCCGATGCATTGTGGGGCTGCCAGACTGGCCAACTGTGTGGCCTCCCCAGCACTGTGGCGTGAACTGGCATTCAGAACTGCCTATTTGCCAGATTTCTGTGGCTTGAAGTTGGTAACATTCCGCCAACCCACTAGCCTCAGCTACGTGTCTAGGCACGTTTCCCTTCCCGTTTACACAGGACAAGGTCCCACTTGTGTCTCAACGCTCAGCCCCCGTGCCTCTGCCCGGAGGAAGCCTCTCAGACACCCCCGTTCTGGGATGGGCTCTCTGGACCCTCAAGACCCCCGCCTGGGGGCGCCTGGGTGGCGCAGTCGGTTAAGCGTCCGACTTCAGCCAGGTCACGATCTCGCGGTCC